AGGAATACTAGACCTCACGAAAATTGAGGTCAACAATAATATAGGGCATACAGGTGATGGAGGACTGTCTTTCCTTGGACCTCGGAAGTACTGATGTGATTTTGGGGTTGAAGTAGCTATAACTGATTGGAGAGGCGAATGTGGATTTGAAATTGCTGACTAGGGAGGAAGGTGGTGTTGAAAGGGGATGCTATCTTTTGTAGAACCATGGCATCCCTCAAACCCATGGTTAAGACAATACTAGGAGTAGGATTGAGTTATTTGGTGGAGTTGCAGAGCCTAGAGGAGTTTCGGGATCCAAAGTCAGATGAGTTCCTAAAGTGTGTTCAACAGCTTCTTCTATTGGTTTCTAAAATTTTTCAACAGTAGTGGGTTAAATCCACTGAGGGAGCGCGGGCATACCATTACATTGAAGGAAGTAGTTCCTTCTATTAGTGTCAGACCATTTTGATATCCCTATATTCAAAAGGATGAGATAGAGATATTGATCAGGGAGATGCTTGAGGTGGAGATTATCTCGCTTAGTGTGAACCCTTTTTCCAAACTAGTTTTATTTGTAAAGAAGAAGGATGGTAGCTATCGGTTTTGTGTTGATTATAGTACTCTTAACAAGGAAACCGTATTTGACAAGTTTGCTATTCTGGTGATTGATGAATTAGATGAGATTTTTTTAGCAGTGGGCAGTCATTTTCTCGAAGATTGCTCTAAATCGGAATACCATTAAATTAGGATGAAGCCAGCTGATGTGCACAAGACAACTTTTAGGACTCTTGAAGGATATTATGAGATTTGGGTGATGTCATTCGACTTTACAAACGCTCCAGCCACATTTCAGTCTCTCATGAACATGCTCTTTCAGTTTTACCTCAGGAAGTTCATGTACGTTTTTTAATGACATGATGATCTACAGTCGTACAAAGGCATAACATATGGGGCACCTTAGGACAGTATTTGAGACTTTGAGAAAACACCAGAGTTACACCAACATGAAGAAATGTTCTTTTTCGCAGTCATAGGTGGAGTACCTAGGGCATGTGGTAACTAGAGCAGAGGTAGCAACTGACTGGTCCAAGATTGAGGCTATGTTAGACTGGTCTTCGCCTGGAAGCTTTAATGTGTTTAGAGGGTTCTTAAGTTTTACCGGGCACTACCAAAATTTTGTGAGAGGGTGTTGACATGATTGCATGGTCGCTGACAAAATCGACTGAAAAAAGATAGTTTCAAGAGGCGGAAGCAGCGACATAGGTCTTCGAACAACTGAAGTGGGCCATGACCAACATTCCAATATTAGCATTCCCAGACTTCAACAGACCATTTTTGGTAGAGGACCATTTTTGTTAGAGAAGGATGCGTCAGGATGTGGATTGGGGGCAATACTCATGCAGAACTAGCGGTCTATTGCCTATTTCAGTCAACTGCATGTTGTAAGGGCGAATCTCAAATCCGTTTATGAGTGGGAGTTGGTGGCTGTCTTGGCCATTTAGAAGTGGCGTCCCTGTCTGTTGGGGCGATACTTTATAGTTAGGGTAGATTAGATTAGTTTGAAGTATTTGTTGGAGCAGAGGATGGTGCCTGAGGAGTGTCAGAGGTGCCTTACCATATTGATTTTTTGTTGTTTGTTCACTTGCAATTATTTTATCATCTTATCTTTAGGGAATTTATTATGGGTCCTTAATTATCAGTATTTTAGTATTTTTTTCTACTTGCTTTTAACATATTAGATTTTTTGCATGGTTGGTTTGATTTGTATGAATATATTTGCAATAAATTGTCTATTAGTTATGATAACCACATACTTCTTTGTTGGTTTGAACTTAAGTTGTAGAGTTGAAGTTGTTGGTAAGGGAAAGATACATTTGAATCTTGAATGATTCACTTCAATGCCCCTTTATAAAAGAATTAAATACAATAAAGACGAGGGCAGTTAAAATCACCATTTGCATTCTAGAAATGTTTAGAAATTATAAATTAGAATTTCTGAAAGTTTTGGTATTAATCTAGTTTTCAATGTTTTTTATTTCACTTTATTTCGCGAAACATACAATCATTGTAAAGGATTTTTTTTTTCTGATCTTGTTTTAGATTTTAATTATGTTAAGAAAGGCAGACTTAGACTTCAAAAAATTTGGGCATATTTTATAAAAAAATGATCTTAATTTATTAGAATTAAATGAAAATATGACAATCAATAGGACACATGGAGAAAAAGGATTCATGCAGCCGACCCCACTTAGTGCGATAAAGGCTTTTTGTTGTGAAAATTCACATCCAACACCTTGCGAACCAGTTCTATTCTTCTTATTCCTGAAGCTATCTTAAATGATGAAATTGTATCCTCTATGAATGGTGGATTCCAATGATGCATCAACATGATAAACTTTTGTATTTTGGTTCATGTATTACGTTATAGGAAGTGCAACAATTATGCTTAGATTCACATTATAAATATCACTTGCTTAATTTATTCCAAGCTGAGCATATTCATTTGACACTCATAAAGGCAATTCTATAACTGCTTCTAATCTTGTAACTGCCCCCTATCCTCAAAACCACTCTCACGATCGTGCTACATCAATCAATATATCTGTGTGTGTGTACATATGTAAACAAGCTTTATTCGCAGTTTTTAAGAGTTCTTTTGGGTGCATCTTATTCATCATTTTTCTTTTGAATGTGAATATGAAAGTATTGATCTTTAAAGATTTGTTGCTAAGGTGAATTTGCTCCATGTATTGTTTGGGATGTTTAACCAAAAACTTCATTTTGCACATTTTGTAGGTGGAGTACCTTCCTGTCATTTTCCCTTATGAAGAAGAAACTGCATCTCATCTTTCTAAAAGAGTGAGTATAAGAAAGATAGAGTTCTTGGAAAGTATAACTCAGATTATTATGCCAATATAAATCTTACGCCTAACTTTGAATTGTAAACTAAAACTATTGTGACACTTGCTAATCTTTATGCTGTGAGTGTTAAACTCATCCGTTTTTCTTGTTCTTGATTGAACTACAAGGTTAGTGATTTTCTATTCATTTTGCAAACTTTAAATGCTTTTATTCGTTATCCAATGAATTGGGATAATGTTGATGATGTTTAGTTTTATAGTTGTTACTTTTGTGAGTAAATTAATTTAGTTAATCTAATATTTCTGAAGAATTTGCATTCAAATGAATTTGTGACTTTTATTTTATGTGTTATTGTTGCTGGAGCTCTTTGTTATGTTCATTTCACATTAAATGGTTAAGTTGAGCTATGTTGAATGTGGTACATTGATTCAACTTCAACCTTTAGACAGGTGTTTGTGCAATTAGCCAGCTGATTGAAATTTCTCGAATCAAACTGATTAGCATGAAACTGCAGAGAAGATGATTCTAACTTTTATTCTTCTTACATCAACTTTGCAGACCAGCTATGTGATGGGGAAAGCCCTTAATGTTATTCAGACTTCTCATGCTTATGGTGATCTAATGCTCCTTACAAAAGCATCAGATTTCACAAAGGTCGAAGTTCATATGTATTTTATTTACAAAATTTTTCTGTTTATTCCTTTTCATCTTGAGATTTTGTTTTTACTTTCTTTCATAATGATGTTAAAAGCCAATCCTTAATGTATGTAAAAAGTTATAACAAAAGTACGGATACCATACTTTTCAATAGAAAACAACAACATAGTGCAAAAGTCATGGAACCATATTTCATAGCAAGCTTTAAAAATACGAAAAAAAAAATTTAGTTGCTTTGCCTTAGCGTGGTGAGGCATTAGTTTTAAGGTAGTTTGAGGCTTAAACCTCAAACTAGGGAAAAAGACTCATAATGATAAAAAAAATTTCTTAAATATGACATTAATATTCAATATCTTAATTTAGTTTATTATTGTAAAGCTATAAACTACAAACCTCAATCTTAAATATTTTTATAAAAATTAAGTTTTAAATATAATTTTAGGTAAGCATTAACTAAAAATTTTAAAATGTCACGAGAACATTAATCCATAATGGTCTCATCTCTTTTTTCATCATCTTCAACAGATACGTCGTATTTATCATCTAATTCTATTTTATTGGTATCTTTCAAATCTTATTCAATCCCCACAATTGTCTACTTAGTTTCTGTCTTAATTAATATTAGAGCCAATATAATTTAAAATAAAACAATGAGTTAATAACACAATAAAATTATCATACTTAAATTATTGTTTGACATTTTCAATGCATTATATCAGTTATATTAAATATAAATATAATATATTATAATATAATATATATTGATAATATTATATAACTTTATTTATTTATTTATTTATTTATTTTTCATATCCTAGTTAAGGCATTGCCTTAAATATCTCAATGATTTATGGTTTGAGGCGTGCTTTAGACAAAAAAGATGTAAGCCTCATTTGTGACGGTGAAGTTTAAGAGTCGATACTTTTTTTTTTGTACATCTCGAGACATATGTCTCGAACGTCTTTCTAAACAAGTGCACATAGCTTATGGTACAACTTGTGTTATTTTAAACATGGTATAAAATATTAAGAAATAATAATTTAAAGTATAACTAAATTTAATTGATTGAAATATAAACCATCATGATAATGGAAACAATAAAATTTTTGCTTAGATTTAAGTGTTCAACACTTCAATCAAGAGATGAAACTGATGACAAATAAGAAGTTTATTGAACTATTTTAAAGTCGCATTTTAAAGTCATTGGAATATTTGATGAGTATATGTTTAATGTCAAATAGTAGTATTTTTTCTTCTAATCCCTTAACACCTGAAACTCATTAGAAAATTCGATACCTAATTTTTCATATAGCACTTGAGTCTAGTTTCAAGGGAATAATATCAAATTCTATGGCCATTATGATACTGGAGTTAACACAAACCACAATAAAAATGCAAATATTATTGTTAATTTTCAAAAATGGTACAATAAAAGACACTTGACAATTGGAAAATAGCAACACAAACATAAAAGACACTTTAGGGCAAGAACGGACGTGACATATGTTTGTGGGACAGTAGGTAGTGCGTGATTTTGGGAAGTGGCTATTAGGAAAGGATGGTTGAACGTTGATTTGACAGCAGTCTCTCGGCTGTCCCGGTCAAGCAGTCCCAATCGGGAGGGCTGCGATACGTGGCGAAGGGCGTTGTTTTTTTTTTTTTTTGGGGGGGGGAGGGGGTGACTTGGATGGCTGGGGCGATAACTAGAAGGGCTGGGGGATGACACGACAGTAGGCTTGGAAGGAGGGTGAGGGGATGGTTGGTTGGTTGTTGTAAGATGTGTGGGTTGTAGGTGAGAGGTGAAAGGAGGGCAGATGTTGTTGGAGGGGGGAGATCATGACTAGCAGTGCGGCTGAGAGGAGGGGAAGGTGTTACAGGAAGGGACTGGAGAAGAAGTAGAGAGGAGACTTTGTAGTGGAGTCACGGGAATGGGAAAAGGGTGGCGGGAAGGGAAGAAGCCTAGTGGAGGATTTGCTGTGAGGCAAGTGTGTCTGTTTTGGAGGAACAAGTGACGGACAATGAGGTTGGGTGTTGGCTAGGAATAGAGATTACGACAGACAACAGGAGACGAAAGTATGGGGAAGGTAATTACCACCTTTGGAGAGATACAACCTGAGCACTACCCATTCTGTTGGATACATCCCTCATATGGGATAAGTGGACGTTGACAGCTGTCCAAACAGAAGCCTGAAATAACTCACAATTATCTAACCCTGATTCAACAAATACCAATTTATAATAGATGTATAGGTGGGAAAACAGAAAAGATGCTTAGATGGCTGGGGCCATTGCTAGAAGGGCTGGGGGGGATGATACGACAGCGGGCTTGGAAGGAGGGTGGGGGGATGATCGGTTGTTGTAAGATGTGTGGGTTGTAAGTGAGGTGAAAGGAGTGTGGATGTTGTTGGAAGGGGAAGATCACTAGCAGTGTGGCTGAGAGTAGGGGAAGGTGTTACAGGAAGGAGCTGGAGAGGAAGTAGAGAGGAGGCCTTGTAGTGGAGTCACGGGAATAGGAAAAGGGAGGCGGGAAGGGAAGAGTCCCAGCAGAGGATTTGCTGTGAGGCAAAAAACTGTGGTTGTTTTGGAGGAACAAGTGACAGGCAGGGGGGTTGGGTGTCGGCTAGGAACAGAGATTACGACAACCAACAGAAGAGGAAGGTATGGGTAGGTAATTACAACCTTTGGAGAGAGACACAGCCAAAGCACCACCCATTCTGTTGGATATATCCCTAAAATGGGATAAGTGGACGTTGACAGCTGTCCAAACAAAAGCCTGAAATAACTCACAATTATCTAACCCTAATTCAACAAACCCCAATTTATAATAGACGTATAGGTGGAAAAACAGAGATGTGGGGAAAATACCTGCCTAGTGAAAGAGGGAGGGGGTTTCCCTAGCCTCCACAACAATCTCCCGGAATTGGGGAGCTTCCACCCCATTTGTTGAATGACACGATGTTAAGTCCCCTACTAGGTCGATCATGCTGGTGTTGTCATTCAATAACTCATTCTGATAGAATAGACATTCATCCACTTTTGGCACATCATGTGCGGTAGCTGCATATAGAAGTTGGTTCCCGCAATATAACTCTCGAGCCCTAAAGTTTGAAACATTCTCCTTCCACTTTTCGTGCCCAGTGGACTGTAGTTGATGAACAAGTGTGTAAAAAGAAATCAATTATGGAATGAAATCTGTGGTCGATGATGCTACTCTCACTAGCAATCACTTAGGAGTGACTTCTTCTGTGATAGGACTTGAATCTCATTGAAGAATTTTCTTCCCCTTCAAGCTCCTAGGGCATATTTCAAAGCTGAGGTTAATCCCTTCTGTTTGGACATTTTCTGATGGGTACCCCGCTGATCTGAATCTATCATCTGAAATACTCCTCGAAATATTCTAGGCATGGCACAAAATGTCTCCTTTTTGGACATACTGGACCTCCCTCAATAAGGGCCACTCAAGAGGGGATTTATAAATCTGAAATATCTGCATTTCCCTTATCTGTGGCGACTTTGATTTAATGTCGGCTCTTCGAACTCATAACCCTTGTAGACATCCAAAATCGGTCCTACTATTATTCCTCTCAAAGTCTGCAAAGAGCTAGCTAGAGGCACCATAATCTTATACACTGTTGGGCTGCCCATTACCTCAATCAATACATTCTAAAGACGTGACTGTTACTTCAGTTGGAATTTCTATCTCGGGGTGAACTAGAATTGGTGGTGTCTCTTCCTTGTTGGCTGCAAATGGAGAATCCTCTCTAACGTCTTCATCTTCTCCCGAACCAACTATGTCATTGCCCAATTTTTCAACTATACACTGCTCAGTGAAATTGAAAGATTAATCGATGAAAAGTATATCTGAAAAGATCTCTTGATAATAAAAAAAATTGATAATGCAAACAACAAGAAAAACGATAAAAATGATAAATCGAAGTTCCACACTTTGCACTCTCGTAGCACGAATTCCACCTTCCACACGAATCTTTTCACAATCCCCCACGGAGTTTCACACTCTTCACAAAATCCCACAAATCTTTCTACACCATTGTCAATCTTTACATTCCACATTCATAAACTCAGCTCCACAAATTCTCTACACTCTTCTCACAATGCTCTCGGGATCAGTACAGACATTCTGATTCTCAAATCTATAGGAAGCCTTCGTTGAATTCAACGGATCTCCCGTCGTATCTCTTCACGCGAAGGCTCAGGCATGTATCTATTTGATGGTATGATTAACATTTTAGGTTTGAAGGTGAAAGAGGGTGTAGAAGACTCGTTTAAGGTGTAGGAAATGTAATTTATGGTTGCTGATTTTGAAAATCATCAGTGGGGAGTTAGGATTAGGTCTAAATTTGGCTAATGTTTGGAAATAAGAAAGAAAAGTTTTGGTCGAGGTGGTTTGGGTAGGGGCGAATGCTAGAAACCCTAGGATGGAAATAGAGTTGGGCTTGCTCCAATACCACATGATACCAGAGTTAATCCAAACTAGAATAAAAATGCAAATATTATTGTTCAATTTCAAAAAGGTTACAAACAAAGACTTTTGGCAATTGGAAAATAGCAACACAAACATAAAAGACATCCTAGGGTAGAACAGGGGTGACATATGGCTGTGGGACAATAGGTAGTGTGTGATTTTGGGAGGTGGTTGTTAGAATGGGATGGCTGGATGTCGATTTGACAATAGTTTGTCGGCAGTCTTGGTCAGGTAGCGGCAATCTGGAGAGCTGCGTGAAGGCTGACGACAACTGATTGGGGGTGGGTTGGGGGGTGGGGGGTGGAGACTTGAAGGGCTACGACGGTAGCTAGAAGGAAGATACGACAACATGCTTGGAAGGATGGTGAGGGGATGACCGGTTGTTGGAGGATGTGCGGACTGTAGATGAGAGGTGGAAGGAGGGAGGATGTTGTTGGAGGGGGAAGATCATGAGTAGCGGTGTAACTGAGAGGAGGGGATGGTGTTATGGGATGGGGCTGGAGAGGAAGGCTTGTAGTGGAGTCACGGGAATGTGAAAAGGGTGACGGGAAAGGGAGGGGCCCAGCAGAGGATTTGTTGAAAGGCAAAAATTGTGTGGTTGTTTTGGAGGAACAAGTGACAGGTACGGAGTTTGGGGGTCGGTTGGGAGCAAAGATTACAACAGCCAACAGGAGAGTAAGGTATGTGGAAAGTAATCACCACATTTGAAGAGGGATATGACCGAGGCACCATCCAATCTGTCGGATATATCTCTCGAAGGGGAAAAGGGGACGCCGACAATTGTCCAAACTAAAACCCGAAATAACTCTCAGTAATCTAACCCTAATTCAACCAACACACCTATTTATAATAATTGTATAGGCGGGAAAACATAAAAGAAAGCTTTTGGGGGGGGGGGGGGAATTCCCCCCTAAAGAAAAGGA